TTGCTGCATTTCTTTCTTTCTCCGTCTTAGCTTTTCAGCTTCACCTTTTCTCCACTTTCCAAAAGGTTTATTCTGTTCATCTGGATGTAGCGTTTTTAGTGAGAGAAACATTTCTACACTCATCCAAGTGACTTCTTCAGTCTCAGCTGACTGCAGGTTTTAAACCTTAAACCCTTAGAACTTACTTAGAACTTTTATTGTCATTGTACAGTTGCTTGCACAATGAAAGTAGGTAGCAAGACCACAAAGATGTGAGATTAAAGAAAACAATATACTAGAAAAGAAGAAGAAAACCTAAATAATGTGTACACTATATGTTCACTACATAAACAGTACATTTGCAGAATGACTAAAAACAAGCCCACTGAATGAACAATGGGCTGGGAGATCAGTTCCTCGATTATTAATATGCAAACTGTGATCACCATTCATGTGCTCATTGACTATCATGGTCATGAGTCCCATTCTCAGAGAGTTGAGAAATGGCTGCAATCACAGCATTGTAAGATGGTGACAGATGCACCCTTAGGCCCCCTCCTCGATTCAGAGATGGTCTTTCCCTTTTCACGTAAATGGCCTCCTTGACGCCGCGCTCAAACCAGCATTCCTCCCTGTCCAGGATGTGAACATCCTCATCATTGAAAGAGTGTACACTGGCCTGTAGGTGTGAATAGACTGCAGAATCCTGGCCTGACGAAGTGGCTATTCTATGTTGTGCCATCCGCTTTACCATTGGTTGTTTTGTTTCCCCGATGTATAAATCCTGGCAATCCTCCTGGCATTTAACAGCCATTCCCCAACTCTCTTTGAATGGTACTCCTGGCCATTGATCAATGGGCTTCGATCAGTGGGCTTTGATCAGTGGTGATGAACAGAGTCAACCTTTTGGGATTTACTTACCTGGATGATTGAGCATGCAACAAGAAACTTTTCTCCCCTTCTTACACACTGAACTCTGTTCTACAAGGTGTGTAGGAGAAAGTAGGGGGAAACTCGGTTGCATGAAGGAAGTTGGATAGCACAATAAGGAAGACTGAAACAATGTTACACATGCCATAGATTCTCTAACAGTTCACAATCCACCAGATATACGTTTAATCTGAGATAAGGAAAAAAAGAAACGACAAACGACACACATCTAAAACCAAAAAGGTGAAATATAGAGTTACTTAAAAATATTTAACATATCAA